AGTCCATGCTATCCTTCTGGACAACAATCTCCATTACATTTTTGTAAAAGTCCTCCTTATCTTCCTCTAGATTCAAAAGTCTAGCTTGTTGTTTGCGTCTACCGTCTCTGCGTAGAATAACAGTAGCAACAAGAACCTGTGGGCTCACTTGCGCCCCCTTCAGTGCGGCAGAGGTTATGGCTGCCTCCCCTGGTGCTGTTTTCATTGCCGTTGTATGATGAGACCAGCGAGCCTAAATATCATATATACGTGAAATAAGTTATTTAGAGACTATGGATGGCGAGGATAAATGTAATAAAGGGATCTACAAACATTACATTGGTAACATACAGTGAGATGGTGCAGGCATGCGCTTAGGGTCCGCTTTCCAGCCAGTTTCTGTGGGGTGACGCATTCTGAGGTGAGGCAGAGCTCATCTGTGCCTCACCTTACCACACAGTAACTGGCTTGAGCGCGCTCACAAAATAAGTGCCCGCGCTACATTAGTGCCCGCACTCCAGCCAGTTACTGTGGGCTTACGTGAGACAGAGCTCGTCCCTGCCTCACTCCTCATCGCTCCCATGTAGTTGTAGCGGAGCTCGGCAAATTTGCTGATTTTGACTATGAAAAGCGATTGGAATCAAACAGAAATCACACTTACAACACAGATCAGTGGAGACATTTTATTATTATTACTATTTAGTTTTTCTTTAGTTGTTTTTCTGTTACATTGGAGTATGACAGTCAGGGGAGTCAGGGGGGCTCTGCCTCCCCTGACTGCACGTCGCTGGTATTTACATACATGTATAATGATTGTGAATTTGTAATAAATATGTACTTTGTAAGGGTTATAAGTTAGTTACTGTTGGTAAAACATTAAGGTTGTTTGTTACACTTAAATATGTTTCAGTAATGCATTTTAGTGACCTGCCATTAATGGCAGAAGGTAAATAGTCAACATGAGAGGTTAGAGGGGTAATGAAATACTACTTTTAAGTGAAAGTAAAAGAAGAGTAGTATTATATACAGGTTAATAATGCTGTATACAAATGTATTTAACGTACAAAAGATTTGATTGAATGTGAAATTCAATTTGACATGTGTTTATCACATAAAAGAGTAACATACAGACAGAGTGAAGGTATGTGAATGGTTATTGAGGAATGTAAGTCGAAACTGAAATGCATAAGATAATGAATATGTTTATATGATTTTGTGTAATAAAACAACCTCAGGAGAAGTAATCTGGAAGGAAACTGAACACAACGTGTCCTTATTACTTCTGTCTCACCTGCACCATACAGGTATCATCACTGTTACTGTGGTCCTCATATCGGGGACCCGTAACATATGCATGTAGACATTTCAGTTCAAGTAAGTCAGATGCCTTCACCACAACTGGCTACAACAACTGGCGCCATGCTCTTGTACGTCATAAGGGACTGGGAAGGCATGAATCAAACAAAGAGCACATGAAGTCAGTAGCTTTGTGGAAGGAGAGGCGTGCAAGAAAGAAGTGAGACTGGTACTGAGGTTTCCACTCTTGTAAATGCAGCACAACTGGAGAGAAACCGCACCTATGTAGCAGCTATTGTGGACATAATTCAATGTATAGCTGTTAACCAGTTGCCTTTCCGTGGCTCTGTTGATGCGTTAGATGCAAGAGGCGAGGGGAGTTGTGGTATTTTTCTAGCAATGATGGAGTACACCCTTCAAAAGGACAAAGAACTTGCTAAGATTTTTAGCACCATCCCGTCCAATGCCACATACACCTCAAATCACATACAAAATGAGATAATTGAACTCATGAGTGAAATCATCACAGGGGAAATAGTAAATGAAATAGGAGAGGCGTGGTACACATTAAAAGTGGATTGCACCAAAGACCCCACTGGGTGCGAAAACATCTCAATTGTGCTTTGCTTTGTGGATAAGAGCAACACTAGGAGAGACTTGTATCAATGGCAACTAGTAAAACATGTGATGCCAAGTCTCTGACTGAGCTGGTTTTGTCAAAGTTGAGAGACATTGGGTTATGTACAGACAAGGTGCTCAGTCAATGTTACGATGGGGCAAATGTCATGTCTGGAGTACATGGAGGGATGCAGAAAATCCTGCAGGAAGAATTAAAGAGAGAGGTGCCGTATGTGCACTGTTTTAATCACCAGTTGCATCTAGTAGTAGTGCATGCCATGTCATCTGACAACACTTTGGAGAACTTTTTTAGTGTATGCAACTCTCTCTACAAGTTCTTCAGGAAACCTACAGTGGCTGCAGTCTACACCGGAGAGAAGTTGAAGCGTTTGCTTGATCAACGGTGGACAGGCCACCTGGCCACAGTGACAGTGATCATGAAATCCTTTGAGCACATTGTCCACCTGCTTCGTGAGATTGAAGACAACCAAACCAGTGCTGCAGAGGTGCGAATCGAGTCCACAGGGATTTTGAAGGCCATTACCCAGCCCAGCTTCCAGTTCATTGCCTGCATGATGTATCAAATATTGAGTTTGCTGGATCCTCCCAACACTGCACTCCAAGCTAAATCCACTGACCTCTACACTGGTGTCAGACTGGTCCAAAGTGCCCTGGTTTGTGTGGAGGAACTGAGATGTGACAGTCAGTTTGACACACTTTGGGAGAAATTCTCAAAAGACAGAGAGACCATAGAACCTCTTGCAGCAGCCCCTCCGAAGAAACGAGGCAGAGTAATGTCCCACTTGAGAGACTATGTGGTAGGCACCACAGTTGGTCACCGTCCGGAAGGATTGGGAGAAAAGACAGAGTGTAAAATACTGTATTTCAGTACTCTGGATTCTGTAGTGGGAGAAATGACAGCTAGATTTGGTGAAAGAAACAGCAAACTAGTAGAGGCCCTGTGCACCTTACACCCAAGGAGTGAATATTTCCTGGATGCAAATAAAGTGAGACCACTGCTTGACTTAACAGGGACAGAGATGAAGGAAGCTGAGTTAGCTGTGGCAAGGCAGTTTCTGCAGGAGGAAATGTCCCAATCAGACAAAAAACTGGACAACACAGGACATTTTGAGAAGATACTGCGAGCCTCTGGCAGCCATGCCTACGGTGTTAGAAACACTGAAGCTCAGCTTAACCTTCGGTGCATCAACTGCAACATGTGGAAATTCCTTCTCAACTCTGAAAAATGTGTTCAGTGAACACAGAAGGAGCATGCTGCACAAAAGAAAAGCCTGTCTCATCCAGATCGCTGTTGAGAAGGACCTTACCAAAAAGGTTACTGGAGAGTGGAAGGAGAGACTGCTGAGAAGATTCAACACAGCTTCCAGGAGGCTACAGCTCTTCTGAGGGTAAGAAATATTGTTGTATCACTTTAGTTATTTTATTGTATCAATTATATATTTATTGGTACATGATTATGTAACCTAAGCTGTTGAAGTTGTTGGCTAATGTAAGTAATACTATTGTACTGAGTTTATCTATTGAAAATCTAATTATGTACAATTTATTATGGGTTTAACCTTTGACCTCTGACTCTGTCCAATAAGGATCCTGTGCTCCCTGGTGGTTCCAGTGTGCCACTATCTTTGAAGCTCCTACAGGAAAAATTGGACAACATGAGATCTTTTGAGAAAATGGCTGCTACGTTACAATGTGAATGAGAATTTAAAAAATACCTCTCAAATCTAGTTCAAATCTTCTGCCACATGTTATTAAAAAGTGAGTTGTACTCTAGTCAAAAGTGTTTTTTTTAGTATAGAATACTGTTCTGTTTTACACCTCACACATATCAAAATCTTATCTCGTATCCCAAGCCTATCAACAAGCTAATGTTGCAGCTGAAATGTTCTCCACGTCACAAAACCATCTTCACATGATGATGTGATACCAGTTTTCAAGCACAGTAAATTCTCTTCCCAGAGTATATGATGGGACCAAGGTGATGATGTACATGGTTTTAATAATACTAAATTAAATGGTACTCATCTGAGTAACTCACTCACTAATAATGAAATACTATATGACAGTAAAACAAGAATTGTTTAAAAGGGGAGTGATTTGTAAAATATCCATAAAGAAAAAGTAAATCTGTTTACAGTTCTGTTTCATATGGGTGTTGAGAGATGTATCCATAGATCTCTTCAGTTTGCACCAAGTGCACCAGATTGATGCTTTTAACTTCAATATTTAAAAAAAAATCTTCCCGGGGGAGCATGCCCCCGGACCCCCCTAGAGGAGGTGAGGACACCCCTAGAGGTATTAGGTCCACACCCCGCTTATAAAAATAGCACTTTACCACTGCACCCTCTCTAATCTCAGATGCACCCTCAGTCATTTTGTTCTGGAACCGGGCCTGGGTATGCCTAAGTCATTTTCAATGTGGGCCGCCGTGCCGACTTAATTCATTTGTAATTGTTACTTGGCTGTGGGTGCCCTGTCATGATAGGTGTTTATATAAATGGTGTTGTTTTGTGTGGTAGAGGGTCGCTGTCATTGATGCGTTTTGCACCCCGGGCCGTTGTGTCGATATTCCGCTGGGATGTAATAACTCTTCTTTTTTTTCTCGACGGAAGGTCAGAGGGCCTAGCTATAAAAGTCACGGCTCACCACTGTCATAGAGTAATGGCATCTTGACAAGAAATGGAGTCACACTCCTCTGTGTTGTAATCGGAGCTACAGTCCTACAGTTCCCCCTCAAGTTCCCCCTCCGCTCCCCCTTAGGTTCCCTCTCCACTCCCCCTCAGGTTCCCTCTCTACTCCCCCTCAGGTTCCCCCTCCGCTCCCTCCCAGGTTCGGGTCCGGGAGGATATCAAGAGATCACAAGTTTAAAAACGCTAAAGTCTAAGTGAAGTCACAAGTTATTAATGTGAAAGTCAAAGTCTATTTTGATGCTGTCAAACTAAGTCTAAATACATGAAAATAATGTCCAGATTATGATTGTAGATCAACATGTTGTAGTGAAGAATCTGTCATGTCAGTACTATAACATGCACTTTGAAGAGGCATAATGTATACGGAGGGCAGTAGTGCATGGCTGCTTTTCTTACCTTTCCCAATACAAGTGTAGCTTTGGCAGAGGATGGCCTGCAACAAAGAAGAAAATAATGCAGAGCATATTTAAGAAAACCATCATCGTTCACTCCCCCGTTGTGAGACAAATAAGGAATTTTGATTCTGAATCATTATATTCATCTTAGAAACAAGTTGAACTGAGAATAACACATAAAGAAAACTCATCAACATGAATACCTGTATGCCCCGCCAATTCTTATGCATTTAGGAAATTATATAACAACCAACATCACAGCCTAGCAGGCAACGTGAGTTTAGTGAAGTGTGTAGCAGAGAGCTGTCTTGTAGAGAAATACCTTGCCAAATTCTCAATCAGAGCCAGCTCCATCAGGGCTGGGGGACAGATGGATAAGCCGGAGAGTCTCTACACAACTCTGCTGTCAAAAAAACGGTCTAACACAATCCTCCACTGCAGGGAAAGATGTCCATGTCCCGGATCCCCGAGGGATAATAGATAATATTTATATAGCGCCTTTCAAGGGGCCCAAGGCCGCTTTAAATGGTAAACAAACAAACACAGAAAAGGGGCAAATAATAAAGTAAAAAATTAAATAAATAGCAGTAGGAGTGGAAGCAGGGGGACTGTGATGGGTTAGGGGGTCAAAGGCCATGGTGAACAGGTGAGTTTTTAATGATGACTTCAAGATGTCCAGGGAAGCAGCATTGCAGATCTCTGCAGGAAGTGCATTCCAGATGGTGGGGGCCGCAACACTGAACGCCCGGTCACCAACAGTTCGGAGGTAAGAGCGGGGAATGGAGAGCAGGCCCGTGTCTGAGGACCGCAGACTCCGAGAATGGGTGTAGGGATGTAGGAGGTCCGATAAGTACTGGGGGGCGAGGGCATGGAGAGACTTGTAAGTGAGGAGGAGTGTTTTGTACTGAACCCAGTGAAGATGGATGAGGGTGGGGGTGATGTGTTGCCAGGGCTTGGTGCGGGTGAGAAGCCTGGCGGCAGAGTTCTGGACGTATTGGAGCTTCTCCAGGGCTTTGCTGGGAACCCCGGACAGGACTCCATTGCAATAGTCGAGGCGGGAGGTTATGAAAGCGTGTATTAGCGTTTCTGCCAAAGAGTCAGAGAGTGAAGGCCGGAGTCTGGAAATGTTTTTGAGATGGTCGAAAGCAGATTTGGTGACAGATTTGTGGTGTCCAGGATGACTCCCAGGTTGTGGACTTCAGTGGATGGAGAGATGGAGCAGCCGTCAATGGAGAGGAGCAGGTCTCCAACCTGAGCTCGGTTTTATTGCTGTTTAGTTTGAGCAGGTTTGATGACATCCAGTTTTTTATGTCCTGTAGGCAGTTGACAAGGGATTGAGGGGGGAGCTGAGTTGAAGGTTTGGTGCAGAGATAGAGCTGTGTGTCATCAGTGTATGAATGAAAGCTGAGACTATGGTGGTGGATAATTTGACCAAGTGGGAGCATGTAAATGGTGAAGAGGAGGGGTCCAAGCACAGAGCCTTGAGGTACACCTTGGTTGACTGGGGCCGATGGGGAACTGCAGTCACTGATGGATGGACCGATAGTTAATTCACATGACTTTACTTTGATTAATTACGGATTTAGGGGGGGAGAGAGCCATTGATGTAAATGAAGAAGAGGAGAAAGAAAGCAGCCTTGAGGGGAACCAGTACGGATGATGATCATTTTGATGAGACAAGTTTCCAGCTGTATGTGCTGCTTCCTGTTGGACAGGAATTCAGTCTGGAAGGTGCAGCTGGGAGAGTTTGTCCTGCAGCAGAGCCGGGACTATAGTATGAAGGCAGTGTTCCCGCCCACAAACAGGATCCTGGCGAGGGTTCCTACTGATTCCAGCTGCTGCAGGAGGAAGTGGAGGGCCATTTTGACTGCATCTTCTACAGACCTGTTGAGGGTTTTGAGGTGTGAAAGGACAAGGCACTCAGAAGACTTAATTACAAAGAGGTAATGTCATTAAGTCCTGTGATCCTGGTTTATTTTTGGACGGGTATGATGGTGGACGAATTGAGCCGGCTGGTACATTGCAAGTCTGGGGTCCAGTTTGTTTGCATGGAGACAGTTGTCTTTGGGACGGGGCTTTAACCATCTGGCTGTGGTTCCTCCAGACAGAAGCAGTCACTTGATAAGAAATTTAGAAATGTTGCATCTCTCAAAGATTTGTTCATTTTGTACTTTGCCTCTTATCTGGCCTTTGTCACTCCTTAACCTGTTAAGCCCGGAGGCTGTTTTTCAGGCCTCAGGCTCGAACATGACATGCCCAGAACAAGTGACTATATCTTCACTTCTAAAAGGGGTAAATGAATAATCCTTTTTCACAAAGCAATGATACACCTGTGTGTTGGCTGTGGAAGTGTCCGAATCAATATAGATGTTTTTATTTTAAAGTAAATTCAGATTGAACATAGTAAAGAAATGTAAATTATAGATTTCGTCTAAAGACAAACCATTACTTATAGTGAAAACCACCCTTGAATGATGGGATCGGAGACTAAAAGCTTTAGGAATCCAAACTTTAACATATAATAAGTACCCTGTATCAAGATTGATGCAAAACAAGCTAAATTTGACCTTTTTAGAGAGGTTTAGAAAAGAAAAGTCCAGGTGGACTCACCTCTGGGTACATTTGGGTGCAGTTGCCGTATCTCTGGAACCCATTGGTCGATTTCGGTGATTGACACCTCTTTGTAACCGTTAGAGCCAATAGAATCGAGGGGACATTCCTAAATCCATCTAAACATTACCATTGAGGGTTAGGATGATGTGCACGCAGTTTGCCCAAAACCGAAAGCTCCGTTACACTCTATATGAAAAATACATTTATTGCCATAAATGTTATGATGGATTATCAATAATCATTTCAAAGTGACACAGAGACATTGGATTAACCTTCAGCAGAGTGTATATGCTTTTCAATGCCATTGAACACAACTTTTGATCAGAAAACAGCAAAGGTAAGACGTATTTGCCGTTTTGGCCCCGTAAAGTCAAGTTGTGTGTTGTCTTTCCTGGCTTTCGCTGCCGTGAGTTTTGGTCGCACAGTGATGATACTTATACCAATGGAATCTGTGGAATCTCAGCTTTTATATGATATCTAGTTTGTGCAGATAGCATGAAGTATAACATATCGCTACCGTGAGTTATGGTTAGCTAAAAATTGTTAATATTGTCTGATAGCTAAGTTTCTTCCCATTAAGTGGGTATGACACATTAATAGGTTATTAAATGTTAAGAAGCCACACAGTTCCGTGCAATATTGTTGCGGGGGCAATCGGGCTTAAGACGTTAATGTGGGGAAAAAACCCATGGAGTGATCACACATGGCCTTGAATGTTTCATTGGACCTTCAGGCTGGTCTGTCTAAAATAAAGGCACTTTCTGCCTGTAACTGGTGAGCTTACCAGCACACTTTGAAAAGGAAGTAAACATCTTCAAAATGGTAACTTCTTCTTAACTTTAAGCCATGCCATTTGTTTGCTTCCAAGGAGACCATGACAGGACAGCTGCTTCACTTTAATGATAAGTTCTGCTTCAGTTGTCCAGGCAGATCAGGGGAAAACCAGAACACTTTTTCCCATAAAATGGCGGTGTGTGACCCGGTGCCGTAAAGCCTCCTGCATTACACGTGCAAGGCATTTGGGGAGCAGAGTGGGACTGGCAGTGTTCTGCCTATTACGTAACTGTTATATAAGTCCGCTTGTAAGATAGTTGCTATATGTTGCCTTTAAAGTTAACAATTTAAAGATACCATATTTTAATCCTCAATTACAATGATGTCTCTAGTTCCCTCCACTGACAGTATTGTATTATATGTGGGGAAAAGTCATTGTATCTAAGTATAATGCACTCACCTTGAACTGCAGGCACTGACGTTGACATGGATGCCGGCATTGACATGGGAGTTGGTGAGATAACTTGGGTTAGCTGTAGCATTGGTCTCAGCTATGGCCTGACTGCAGATCCATTTGGTCTCGTCCACCACTGTGCGTGCATGAGGCAGACGCCCTACATCCCTAACTTTCATTAGAAGGTGGCGTCCTGTCTTGAGGATGTGAACTGCCTCATCGTGGGAGATGGTTACAAAGCTCTGTCCGTTGACATCCAGGATCTGGTCACCCACCTGCAACAGATCAGTTTCATCACAACATAAAACAACGCAGAGTTTTTGTGGCGTCAGAACAGACCGCCTAAATATACTGTTTATATATATATATATATATATATATATATATACGTACATATATATACAGTGGCAAGACAACGCAGTGAACCCTTTGGAATAACCTGCATTTATGTATACATTTGTACAAAGAAAATGGTATGATCTTCCAACACTGTCTCCTCAAAATTAAGTTCCCACAGAACTAAACTGCATTCTCAATTACGTTTAGCTAGAAACTTATTGTCTTTACATCTGGAAGTAAGTAGTCTCTCTAATGTCGATTGATTTTACAGTGATATCTGCATTACTCATGAACTCAAAAACACTAGATTATACCTGTTAATTACACAACATTGATAGATTTAATTTGTTTGCAATGCTTTTGTGTTTTTCCCCTTCGATTCGGAGAAACAAATAGTTTTTTCGGAGTTTAAGATGGCCGAAGACACTACACTACCCATAATCCTCAGCTATCGTTTGGGACGACACCAGTCCGCTTTGATCGACAAACCCCGTGATTAGTCCTCAAGCTCTGTGATTGAATGTTGGAGTGGCAGTGCACCTAGGTTATTCTATATGAATTTTTTTCCCCGTAAAAGATAAAACCATACTTTATTCCGCTCGTGCTTGCTTTACTCTTTGAAAGTCATCATATAAATGCATTATAATAAATGGTTCAGCTGCATTAAATACTACACATCTGCCATAGTTTTTTATTTATTAGAGAGATTGGGCCTCAAAAGGCTCAATAAAGCTCGTAAGGCCTTATTGGGCCTCACAAGGCTCGTAAGGCTCCTCATTGGGCCTTACCGTTCTGTTTTAATTTTACAATAAAGTTAATAGTAATATCATGTTTGATATTATTATGTTTTATTAACTAGACCACTGGATCATGTTAGGACCATCTGTCGGTTTGGTGTTACAAATATCAAAACAATATACACTGAACAAAAATATAAACGCAACACTTTTGTTTTTGCTCCCATTTTTCATGAGATGAACTCAAAGATCTAAAACATTTTCTATATACACAAAATAACCATTTCTCTCAAATATTGTTCACAAATCTGAAAAGATCTGTGATAGTGAGCACTTCTCCTTTGCCGAGATAATCCATCCCACGTCACAGGTGTGGCATATCAAGATGCTGATTAGACAGCATGATTATTGCACAGGTGTGCCTTAGGCTGGCCACAATAAAAGGCCACTCTGAAACGTGCAGTTTTGCTTTATTGGGGGGGTCTGGGGGGGGTCCGAAAACCAGTCAGTATCTGGTGTGAGGGGTAGGGGTAGGGTTAGGGTTAGGGGTAGGGGTAGGGGTAGGGTTAGGGTAATGTTGTGAATCGAGTGGCCTGTGTTCGTCGTCCATAACATACGCCTGCCAATACCATAACCCCACCACCACCATGGGCCACTCGATTCACAACATTACATAATCACACAAATTCTGTATTTTATATTTAACAATTCTGTGTTCTTTATTTATTGATTGTTCAATACCTGACAAGGCCGGAGATGAAATATCTACATACATCTTATAAGAGTATAAAATATGTATAATATCAGTTAAAATAAGTGCTTCATTACATTACATTACATGTTACTTGTTAGATGCTTTTATCCAAAGCGACTTACATACTCAATACTGTGGGCAATCCCAACAGGAGCAATTTGGGGTGAAGTGTCTTGCCCAGGGACACAACGACATGCTGACTGCAGTGGGGTTTGAATCTGTGACCTCCTGATCCGAATACCAACTCACAACCCACTGCACCACACGCCTCCCCTTCAACATAGTTAACATTGCTGGAGGTATGCACAAATATTGATAGATGTCTTGTAATGCACTATTGAGGAACCGGCGACCCAAGTTTTTCATTCAAAGCATAACTACACCATAGTTGTGTAGGCCTATATGATATGTCAATAAACCTTAGAAAATCTTGAAATATTTTAAGGGTTGTGCAAAATAGTCATTATATACAGTCTTTAATTAACTATTAGTAGAGAATAACGAGTAATGAATATACTTTATAGGGATCCTATTAATATCTAATAATACAAATAATGAAATTCAATAACATGCTTTAACCACTAGGTGTCCCTTTATATCAGCTGTGCACCTTTATGGTGTAAATACAGCCTATCTACCAATTGGATCAAATATAAAAGTCAGCCGAATTAGTGTTGATACTGCAAGGAGACGTATTGTGTGAAAAGAAATGTAAGATGTTGTTTAATGGCTGATATATTTATGATCCATGTCACGTTTTCAGTGTTGGCGGCAGTTCCTCATGTTTGTCTAGAAGTCTTCTCATCAGGGCTCTATAAATACAGAACTACAGCAGATCAGGGTTGCCAACTCTCACGCATCTGGCGTGTGACACACGCTTTCACTCTCAATCTCACGCTCTCACGCTGCCCAAACTATTCTCACGCCAAAAACAAGATGAACCGGCGATCGTTTTTGGTTAGTTATTTACAATGTTGAGTTGACAGCTGCTCAAGCTGTCGATCCGCTCCCTTGGAGCTGGGCGTGTCTGAAGCTTGGGGATTTTATTCAAGCAACGCGACCAACAACCAATCACATGAATCTCCCGCCCCCGACATACAAAGCAAAAACCCCCGGGGATTTTATGGGAGCAATATATATATATATAAACTCCCCAAACAGGCGAAAACCTACCAGTTTCACCCACTGTCTCTGCCACCTCCCTCCATGCCTGGTTCCTCCGGTTTGTATCCCGGTAGGTGAAGAGGGTCTGGTCATACAAAACCGGGTGATTTGCTACGGCGATAATTAGTTTCTCCTCCATCTTTTTTTGAAATATAGAAATGAACGGCGGGATATCTCTCCCAGCTTAGACGCGGTTTGATTGGCTACGGCTTGAGCTGTCAGATTTTACGAAACGGGGTTTGATTGGCTGGCGCTGGCTACTCCGGCGTCTCCGGCGTCGACGGACCGCTATGCTACCCACAATTCAGTTCGGCGAAAAAAAGCGGCAACGTGACGTCACCCCATTCAAAGTGAATGGGCAGATTGAAGCTGTCGACGCTGTCGACGCTGTAGTGTGGACGGGCCTAACAACGTTAACAGACAGCAGAGCAGTGGGAGACGGTTGGTCAATCCCCGACCCGTATTGCGCATGCGCAGATTTAAGATCCAGTAGAAATGATAACAAAGTAAAGTCTGCTGCTTATTGTTCTACTCGGCCAAAATAGAGTCAAAGAGTATATGAGAGTGAGAGTGTGTTAATTAATATATTTGGCAGTTTGAAGTAAGTCTGTAGATTTGTTTGTGTGCGTGTGTTTCATGTATAGGCCTCTCACGATAATTAATTTTGTTGGATACATTTTCCCGGAAATTATTGCGATAAACGATAATATTGTCGGCACCGTTGTATGACCATTTTAGACCACTGACATAATGATAATATATAATAATGATAATGTATAATATATAATAATAATTCAAGTACATCCTTTCAAACAGTCATATCCTGATGTAAATGGCAATTTAATTTATTTTTTTTATTTATCGTACGATAAGTCAATTAATTGCTTATCGCGACAGGCCTATGCACACAATAAAACAGTGGAAACAAACATGTGTTTGACTTTCATTAGTGAATGAAACGTTGTGCCCTTTATAGTCTGTATTGTATCCAATATTGTGTATTTGTATATATTGTATATATATCCTATATATATGCTAAGGTCCCGCTACTAATGATAGCAGTCATTTAGTGCGCATATGTGTAATTAAACCCATGATATCAAAATCTCACTCCAGCCAGGTACCCAAAGTTGGCAACCCTGCAGATATGTAATATGTAATGCAGCCGAACCGTGTATTACAATGCCGTTATGTGATGACTTTCAAAGAGAAAAGCAAGCACACTCGGAATAAAGTATTATTTTATTTAAAACAAATGTTTTTCGGTCTGTTTCCGGTATTTGTTAATGACGATGTGATGTGAGATGTGAGACTGGAATTGCACAGGGGAAAATAACGTATCTATGCCACAATTTTGCGGATTGTGTTAAACTAATACGTTTGCGCTGTGGACCAACACTATACATTGACGGTAGCAATAAAGATAACACCATTAAACAGTTACACACCATAACAGAAATAATATCGATAGCAGCGTCCCTTGCAACCACCTTGGTAACAATGAAAACGTTGTATAGACACAATTTCCTGAAGTACTCTTCATAATAACTAGCAAACTAAAGATCATGTACATCCACTGCACACATAATCTGAAATAACAACTCGTATTTCTCGCATCAAATGACATCAAAACGCATTTTAATGGCCAAACTAACTTTAAAATAGGCATTTTCCACCGAGAATAAAACGAAGTTCGGCCATGTTTTTTTTTTCTGCAGGGAGAAATATGAAGATCACGTGACATAGACGCCAGCCATTGGAATTAATGGTGAAAAAAAACGTAGGGATCCTACAATTTCAGAGGCGTTTTTGTAGAAATACTACGTCCTAAGTTGTGGACCAACGTATTTATTACACGTTTTTTTTTTTAGACTGGGTTGGCTCCACTGAGATCCAACATCTAGTTTCAGGTGGCCTGTGGAACTGCCAGTCAGCTGTTCCTAAGGCTGACTTCATCTCTGGCTAGGCCTCCCTGCAGTCTCTGGATTTCCTTGCTCTCACTGAGACCTGGATTACTCCATCCAACACATCCACCCCAGCAGCTCTCTCCACAGCATATTCCTTCTCCCATACACCCAGATCAGGCCCGGTTCTACGGGGGTGCATAAGGGTGCACCCTCAGTTGAGTCGTTATGCACCCTCATTTGAAAAATGAAAAGTGAAAAAAAAAAAAAAAAAGTGAAAAAAAAAGTGAAAAATATTACATTAATAATAATAATAAGAAGAAGAATATAGTTGAAATAAAATAAATTGTAATTGTGGTTAAATAACATTGTCTGCT